CCTACTGAATGCGGGATTTGTCATCCTTTACCCAAACTATATGTAAGAACTCAGATCCATTAGGTACACCCATACTGAATTATAGCATTGCTCTCCCTGCTACCACCAACTGTAACATCATCTCTCGGCAAGACATACATGTGAAGCTGTAGCATCCTCCTGAGATACTGACTCAACCCCAAGTCTCAAATTCAATCTGACTTGGATTATTAAAGAGTGTTCCAAAAATACTGTGGATCTCCTCTTCAGACTATAAAAATGAGCCCTTAGTTTCATATAGTGCCCCTCCCAGATATTGGAATTTGGCTTTTTCAGGAAATTTAATAGCATGTCTATAAGGAAGACTATTTTTTGTCTAAATGTGGAATTGGCTTGGTAAAGTAGAGGGCCAGAGAAAAAGAGGAAGACCCTCAACAAGATGTACTGGCACAGTGGCTGCAACAATGGGCTCAAGCATAATAACGATTGTGAGGATGGCACAGGACCTGGCAGTGTTTCGTTCTGTTGTACACAGGGTTGCTATGAGTTGGATCTGACTCGACGGCACGTAACAACAACAAGGATGATCATCTATTTGCAACAAATCCTTGTCAGAGAATTGGCCTGAACAGACGAATCAAACCATCCTTTTCCCAGGTAAAGATGCTAGGACTGGCATAATATGTGCCTCATGTGTATATGCATTTTTATGTGGAGGATCAAGATATCTCACCTTTGCCAATTCAAATCCAAACAATGAGTTCTATATCTGGGCTTTATCCCGTTTGGATGGCTGTACTTTAGGTCATATGGGTATTCCTTTAGACATCCCTTCTTGTGATGATAGTTTACATTGCACTGACCACACGAAACTATTACAAAGGAGGAGAAACAAACAGTCAGGAGATGTATAAGGGAGAGATGGAGGGAACCCCTTAAAGGAGATTTCTGGTTTACGTTATAGTTTTTTGAGGATGTTTTTCCCTTGGTACAGAGTCGGAGATTTAGAACACACTGTAACAACTCCAGAACCCTGAAAGGAATAGCAGGTGATGTTGCCAATGCTATGACTGCTCAAGAGAAATCACTGAACTCACTCACCAAAGTAGTTTTGTATTATCAAATTGTCCTAGATTTCTCGTTATCCTAGCAAAGAGAGTTCTGTGCTATAGCTAACACCTCTTGCTACACCTAGATTAACACCTCAGGAGAGGTAGGAAAAGATATTAAACTAATTCGCCAGAAGGCTACTTGGCTCCATATACCTCCACCCTCAGACTCCCATTTTCTAGATATTTTCAGCTGGTTACCCTCAGGTGTTGGATCATGGATTAAGTCTATATTGTTAACCAGATCAATAATACTCATTGTCATTGTAATAATTGTAGGGACTATTAAATGTTGTATGAAACTTTTGACAGATGTCATTACCCCAAAGACCCATTAAATGCCTATGAAAAGAATAATGTACATTGACAGTATGTATTTTTCAGACAGACTCGAGCCCACTCCTTGAGTAAACCATCAGATGCCAGGTTATTCCTCTAATATAGCCTGCCCTGCACTAGCCTTCAAATAGCAAAACCACAGAAGCGAGAAGCTAAAGTTATGGCATGGTGAAGACATCCAACAGTGGCCAGCTACCTTTTCATAATGTTTTGCTGCTATTCATAGTTTGCTTTATTTATTTAGTTGGGAATCTATAGTCAACGCTCCTGGAAGCGCCAGTCAAACTCAAACGATGTGTTACATTTGGACAAATCTGATGCAAAAACCTTTTTAAAATGTTAAAAATCAAAGCTGTCATGTTGAGGACTAAGGTGCTCTTGACCCAGACAATAATATTTTCAATTGCCTCATATACATGTGACAGGTGGATGGTGAATAAGGAAAATTGAAGAAGAATTGATGCCTTTGTATGAGGGTGTTATCAAACAGTATTGAATGTGCTGTGGACTGCTAAAAGAATGAATAAATCTGTCATGAAAGAAGTGCTGGGCAGGGGTTCTTTTTGTTGTGCATGGAGTCACTAGGAAGGAGTTGGAGCTAACTCAATGGCACCTAACAGTAATAACAAACTTTTCACATGCGTAACACACGAGGTCTTAAAGACTGATTAAATAAGCAGCCACCCAGAATAAACATAGGCTCAAAGTCCATGCAAAAGAAAACATTGTTTCAGAATAGTGGTCACTGAACTGATTGAAGAATTCCTCTCAAAATCCTTGATCAAAAGGAGGGAATGTGTAAGGGAATTTTTAAAAATTGAGGTACCTGATGACATCTGAAATGGTTAGCTTGAGGATTGGATGCAATTTCTTGGTTTCTGGTTCCATTTTCACCCTAGTGGCAGACATCTTCCATGCTGTTTCTAAGACTGGAATGTCCAGTAACGATGATAAAACTACACTGCAACCCTCCCATCACATACCCTTGTAATTACCACATTGTAACCAATCTAAGATACATATATCCTTTTAAGCCAATTGCCTTATGAGCTTGCATTACAGTAAGTCCTGCCTTATAAGCTCCCACCACAGGTAGTACTACCTTACGAGTTCCTGCCACAGGGAGTCCTGCCTTATAAGGATCTACTACCAATGAGGTAATGTTTTTCAATGATCTCAGCCTCTAATTACCAGCCAAGTAATGTCTTTTGATGATCTAAGTTTGTAAATACCAATCAAGTAATGTACTTCATATCTTTTGTTTCCCTCTTATAAAACATAACTGCCGAGTTGCTGTATTGGATTACTGGATTCCTCCACATGGATTTCAGTCTATCCCCTCCTTGAGTTGATTCTATACTTTCAGTAAATCTCTCAATTTTACATTAACCAGAGTACAGAGGGTTACTCTACAACAAATATAATATTAACATACTCTGAAAGTATCTCCCCACAAAATTCCTTGAAATGGACTTCACAGTGGAAAATCCTCAAGGCTTAATTAACTGCTCAAATTTAATTAACAGCACCAATCATGGAAACAACTGATACCTTGTACATTCTGATAATGATGCCTTAAGAAGGACAATGCCATTTCCACTAAAGTTCTGCAACTTTATGGAAAAATATATAATGGAAAATCTAATCATGAGGAAATGTCTGACAAATTAAACTGAGGGATACCAAACAAAATATCCACCTTACTCTTTAGGAATATCTTTTTTTATGAGGAAAATAAAAGTTTCCTTAAAAAGTAGATGTACTTTTGTAATAGTATCTAATTGGCCAGTTTTATCCATGGACACCCCTGGTTGCAAAGAAGGTGGGAAAGTGCAGTTTAGCTCTTCTATGTAGTGGAGGCAAGTAAGAAAGAAGGGCTTTGTGACTGGCAGGTGGTTGACCAGCCAACAGTGTCTGTCCCAGATAAACACAGAACGATGTTCGTTACAGCTTTATTTAGAAAATATTAAACCTACTAGTTATTAGGTAGCATGCTAAGTATTTTTTGGCTCACCCAGGAACATGTGTATTTGAAGAAGGTGGGTTTATTACACGTTGCAGGAAGGGAGTACAAACACCATAGGGAACCATGAGAAGTTACAAAGTTAATACATTGTTAGAAGTATTATGGAATTTGTGCTTTTGTAATTTTTTTTCAGTGATTTTGGGGAAGGTCTAAGGAAGCTGGGTTTGCATCTAGACTGGATGCTGTCAGAAAGCAGAAGCAATTCTAAGACTGAGTATCTCAGTAAATGGTACTCAAGGAGGACAGACTAGAGCAAAGATAAAGCCATAATTGGTAAAGAAGTAGCAGTCATTACTTTAGCCAGGAGAAGGGCATGTTTGGTATGTTGTGAAGGCACAATGACTTTTAGTCCGTGCATAAATGACATTATGAAGTGGCCATGTTTGGTTAGCATGGTTTCACAGAAAGCTTGTCTGAAGTTGGTATTCTGCAAGATTATTTATATCCAATAAGATAGTAATGTGATCTAGCTGTGAGTCTCAAGCCAGCTTTTGGATGTCACAGACTACTTTTTTCATTATTTTCATTTTCAATCTGTTCAATGCAGCACTATGCAGTCACCAATTGGGAGAAACCAGATTTTTTGTGATTGACATTGGAAAATATCATGATTATATTGAGTTTAGAAAAATAGACACACGACATAAGATTTTTATATGATTTCATTTTTGGAAAGAAATATGTAGATGGAAGATGTGCATTTCTTGGAGAGAAAAAGCATCTGGTCAACTTCAAGTAATATTTAAGGAATTTTTCTTATCTTGCTTGATAATATTTGTAATTCAACTTATATGTAAGTACATATATTGTAATTACTAAATGCAATGCAGATATTTTAGCCAAAAAATAGGAAGGTAAAAAAAATATTAGCACTAAAACATCATTCCTCACCTGCAGAATTCTCTTCAGTGTTCTCGCATCAAATCATAGGCTTTTGGGTTCAAGAATGACACCAATGCCAATGTCTTCAGCAGTTATGTTTGCTTAGAGATGTTGTATAATTTATTAATTTCTCTGAAATTTGGTGTCTTCTCCTTCGAAGTGGGGAAGATAGCTTTTCGATGAGGTCAGTGCTTCCCCTTTGGCGATCACAAATAGTGGTTGTTTTTCCTGCCAAACTAGTGGTATCAAAGGGAGTTGTTACCTTCCTTGCTCCTCATTGCCTCTCCCATACCATTCTTTAAACTTTAGCCTCATACTGTCAAATTATACTAACCATTATTGTTGTGTTCCGTCCAGTCGACTTTCCACTCCTAGCGACCTCATGTGACAGATCGCAGGTCTTTCTCTGAGCGCTTAACCACTGCTTCCCCAGGGCTCCCTAATTATTAAAACCCATTGCTAGAAGTCAATACCACCTCACAGCGAGTCTATAGGACAGAGTAGAACCACCCCACAGTGTTCTGAAGAGCGGCTTAGCAGCCAGTACTCTTAACCACTGAGCAACCAGCGCTCTCCGCTAATCATTACCCTCCTCCTCTCGGTCATCTGCTGATTTCCTGAGACGGGCATTCTCCTTGATTCCCGGTCACTTCCGCTCAGGCAGGCCCTTTTGCCGAATTCTGGGAAATGTAGTCCAGAAGCTGTGTGCAGTTACGGCCCTTCCGCTGCAGGAGTGGGAGGTTCCTGCCATGTTTTTCCGCGTGTGGGTAGTGCTCCTGCGTCTTGAGACCATTCCAAACTTTCTGGACCTGCTTTTGGGACCTGCAACGACCAGAACTTAGATTTAGTTGAAAGAAGTCGCGGCGCAAATACAGGTTTGAAAGGTGGGGGCGGCGGTTTGCGTTCCCATCGCGGAGATTTTTCTATTTGGGGCAATTCTCGTGTCCCCGGGTTGGGGACGGGCTGGGGTCGTGCCTGGCCTTATTTGTGATCTCCTGCGCTCTCAGCTACCCAGTCGGCTTTCCTCCACCTTGCCCCCGCGCTGCCAGTTCCTCCCGGTACAGCATTGGGCGAGTTACTTCCCTCTGTCTCCGGTACGATTTTGTAAAAAGGGGATATTAGTAGTTTCGTGAAGGGGTCCTGGTGGCGCAATGTTAAACGCTCGGCTACTAACGGAAAGGTAGGCAGTTCAAACCCACCAGCCGCTCCTCGGGAAAAAAGACTCAGTTACGTATCTGTTCCCGTAAAGATTACAGCCTAGAAAACCCTATGGGGCAGTTCTGTGTCTATAGGGTCGCTATGAGACGTAAGCGACTCGACAGTAAACAACAAGTACTTTCATAATAGAATTGTTTTGAGAATTCAAAGAGGTAGCATCAATAAAAGTATTAAAACAATTCCTCGCTCGTGGTGAGTGTTGATATCTCGTTGTTACCCACAGAAAACCCATCGCCGCGGAAGAGTTGATTCCAACTCATGGCGGCCTTCTGGTTTTTAGTATTAGTATTTAATTTCCTGAGAAGCGCTCCTCTAAGGTCCTGGTTAATGATTAGGAAACTGAGGCCCAGATGGACACAGTGATTAAGTCGTCCTTCACAGACCTCTCTGTGATAAGACATATGTTAACCAAAACTTCGCTTGAAGTTTGTCCAAAGAATTGAAGTTCACCAGAAAGTAATTTAGCCTTTGCCCTTGTTTCCTGAGAGGACAATGCTAGGCCTTTGAAGTTTCCTGAGTAGTTGAGGTGCTTTATTATTTTAAAACCTCCAGACTGTGTTTGAGGAATTGTGCAAACGAATAGGGGATTGGCCAGGCCAGAGACCACTTAGTATCCTGCTGCCATCTGTTCTCAGAAAGGGGGCGTTGTTCAAACAATCTGGTTCAGATAAGCCAAGGATTTCTGTTGTACTTCCTCCTCTTCTCTTTAAAAACTTCATTGCAAAAACTATAATCAGTTACAATGAATTGTTAATGTGGAGGCTGGTGTATTGCAAATATTTTTATATGTATATTTTAACTACAATTAAAAAAAGAAACCTCAATGTAACTGCCCCTCATTGGGCCCCCGTATTTTTCCTAAACAGAGAGGTCTTCCTGTATGCATAGAGATTAACTGCTGGAAGGAACTCTGTATGTTTTCATTTCTTTGTTCTTTATTGTTGTAACACTTTGAATCAGGGATGCAGTCAGAGCTCCAGCTGCAGTAGTCCTGGCCCTTGTCTCTGAGTACTGCAGCAAGTGGGATCTTCCTGGATCCCCTCTGACTTCTTTCCTTAGGAAGGAGGGGGTTGCTTCCAGCTGGTCAGAGTGAGGAGAACGAACTGTGGTGTGTAGGGGACAGTGATGCAGTCATTGTAATTCACAGCCTCCTTTTTTTAACCAGCCCCCACTTCTCCAACAGGACTGCAGGGAGGTGGAGGCAGTGACTCCTTAGCTACTGGCAGGAGAGCCCCAGGTGAGGAGGACTTGCGGTTCTTCTTCCACAGAGATTTTCACATGAATTGTAGAGTGTGTGACATGCACTCTAGCATGGGTTAAGATTTAGTTGCTAAGTTTCATTCTAAGGCTTTTATGCAAATTAGTGCTGTCAAAGAGAAATATTAATAACATTCGTCTTATTTGATATTAAGGCTTTCTTACGCATGAAACCAAACATTGACGATAACGAAATGCCCAACCAGGCTTCATTCTGACTTTTCTTTTACCCAGAGTTGCTGGTCTTTTCTATCCAGAAGCCTGACTTAAACTAACTTTGAATTTCAAAAGGCCTAGCTGAAGGTGGGTGGAAGGCCTGCATCCACCTTGTCACCTGATATCATTTGATCTCAGTAAAAAAGGAGGTCAGGGTTCAGTTGGTTATGCTGAGATTAGCCAGTTGTCAGTGTTCTAGTATTCTCCCCCCTCTTCTCTTTATAAGCTTCTTTGTAACTGACTTTCAACCATTTGCTTTTTCTGAAATCATAATGATCTCTCTATATGCATATAGAATAATGCTCACAGTAAACCTTGTGTTTCCATTTCTTTGAGTTTTGGTTATTTTTAACACTACATGATTCCACACCTTGGCTCTGTGAAGTGGCAGTGCTCTTTCCCCTATTTCAAAGATGAGTTATTTACCATACTCACCCAACTAGTAGGAGGCGGAGCTGGGTTTGGAACCTCAGCAGTCTGAGACCAGAGCCCAGTTCATTATCTCTGGAATATATTCTCTGTGAGCCACAGAGAACTGTCTGGAATCAAATCGATTGTACCTTCAAAGCAAGGCTAATGGGCTTGAATATTTCTATGACTTTTAAAAATCAGTCTCATTCCGTTTGATTCCAAGGATTGTTTTGTTTTGTTTTCTTTTTCTGAGAGGCTTTGCTTCTTTTTTATGAAAGGCCCCTGACAGAGGTTTACTTTTTCTTCCACATCCCACTCTACACCCTCCATGACCCTCTTAGCATGAATCGCTGAAGAGCTAATCATTGGCGCAGGCCACGCGGAGACTGGCAGACGCCATTATTCCTCGTGCCTGCATGGTGACCCAGAATTTCTCCTTCTTATAGACATTCCATATGTGCATCACCGTCACATGAGCTGAGTGGGCAATTTGAGTTCCCAGTCTCCCTTTTTGCGGGGACTGATGGCTTCTGAGGGGAAAGAGAATGAGCTTGGAGCAGTACTCCTTCAGCTGCTGCAAGTTGGCCTGCAGGGACTCCATGGACTTGTTCCCCCTACTTGGATCCACAGAGATCTCAATGGTCAGGGCCACCTTCCTATGGATGCTGGCCACCTTTAGCTCTTTCAAGCTGAAGCCCCAGACACTGCACTGTGTGGCACCGCACTATGGGCGGATAGGTCAGGATGCAAGGAGTGAGGTGATGGTGCAGGCTTTTCTGGGCATTGTGTCTGCGGATCTTCCATGCTGGCTGGTTGAACTATGTGGTTATATGCCACTGCTCGTCCTTCTGGAAGTTGGGCTTCAGGATCATGCCATTCTGGGTGGGCACCATGGCTGTCTAAGGCCCTACTGGAAGCGGGATGGCCTAGCAGAAAGTCTATTTTGTATTCTTATAGAACGTGATAGTGGAGAATTCAGAAAATACAGATATAAGCACAGAAAAAATTTTTTAATTACCTGTAACTCCAGAATATAAAGATTTTGTTAGGTGCCGTCATGTCGGTTCCACCTCAGAGCCACTATATGTACAACAGAATGAAACACTGTCTGGTCCTTCAGCAGCACCATAATTCAAAGGCATCAGCTCTTCTTCCATCTTGCTAATTTATTGTCCACCTTTTACATGCATATAAGGCGATTGGAGATACCATGGCTTGGCGTGGGTTAGGCACACCTTAGTCTTCAAAGTAACATCTTTGCTTTTCAGTACTTTAAAGAGGTCTTTTGCATCAGATTTGCCCAGTGCAATATACATCGTTTGACTTCTTGACTGCTATTTCCATGAGCACTGATTGTGGATCCAAGTAAAATGAAACCCTTTACAACTTCAGTATTTTCTCCATTTATCATGATGTTGCTTATTGGTCCAGTTTTGAGGATTTTTGTTTTCTTTATGTTGAAGTGTAATCCATACTGAAGGCTGTAGTCTTTGATCTTCATTAGTAAGTGCTTCAAGTCCTCGTCACTTTCAGCAAGCAAGATTGTGTCATCTGCATATTACAGGTTGTTATGAGTCTTTGTCCAATCCTGATGCCATGTTCTTATTCGTATATTCCAGCTTCTCGGATTATGTGTTCAGCGTACAGATTGAGTAAGTATGGTGAAAGGATACAACCTTGACACACACCTTTCCTGACTTTAAACCATGCAGTATCCCCTTGTTCTGTTTGAATGACTACCTCTTGGCCTATGTACAGGTTCCTCATTAACACAATTGTTCTGGAATTCCCATTCTTTGCAAAGCTACCCATAATTTGTTAGATCCACACAGTGGAATACTTTTGCATAGTCACTACAACAAGGTAAACATCTTTCTGGTGTTCTCTACTTTCAGACAATATCCATCTGACATCAGCAATGATATCCTTCATTCCACAGCCTCTTCTGAATCTGCTTGACTTTCTCACAGTTCCCTGTTGATGTATTGCTGCAGCCGTTTTTGTATTGTCTTTAGCAAAATTTTACTTGTGTGTAATATTAATGATACTGTTTGATAACTTGCACATTCTGTTAGATGACTTTTTTTTGGAATGGGCACCAATATGGATCTCTTCCAGTTGTTTGGCCAGACAGCTGTCTCTCATATTTCTTGGCATAGATGAGTCAGCACTTCCAGCACTGCATCCGATTGTTGAAACATCTCAGTTGTTATTCTGTCAATTCCTGGAGCCTTGTTTTGCACCAATGCCTTCAGTGCAGCTTGCACTTTTCGGTGTAGTGACTCTGTGTATTCTTTCCATCTTCTTTTGATGCTTTCTGCGTCGTTCAGTATTTTCCCCCACAGAATCCTTCAAAATTGCAACTCAAGACTTGAATTTTTTCAGTTTTTTCAGCTTGAGAAATGCCAGGCATGTTCTTCCCTTTTGGTTATCTAACTCCATGTCTTTGCACATTTCATTATAATACTTAACTTTGTCTTCTCGAGCCGCCCTTTGAAATCTTCTCTTCACCCTTTTACTTCATCATTTCTTCCAACTGCTTTAGCCGCTCTACTTTCAAGAGCAAGTTTCAGTTTCTTTTGACATCTGTTTTGGTCTTCTCTTTCTTTCCTGTCTCTTTAATGACTTTCTGCTTTCTTCGTGTATGATGTTCTTGACATTATCCCACCACTCGTCTACTCTTTGATCATTAGTGTTCAGTGTGTCAAATCTGTTCTTTAGGTGGTCTCCAAATTCAGATGGGATATGCTCAAGGTCGTATATTGGCTCTCGTGGACTTGTTTTAATTTTCTTCATCTTCAACTTGAACTTGAATATGAACAATTGATGGTCTATTCTGCAGTGGGCCCCTGGCCTTGTTTTGACTGATGATATTGAGCTATTATATCATCTTTCCACAGAGGTAGTCAATTTTATTAATTCATAACACCCCAAAAATTCATGTCTTTCCCGCATGGAAAACACAATCACCCTATCACATTATCCCAAAAATCTTAAATCAATTGTCAATCAAAAATTTCATCTTTTGAACTATCTAAATCAAACATGAGTGACACTTTAGGCATATTCCATCCTGGAGCAAAATTCCTCTTTATCTGTGAACCTTTGAAATCTAGAATACAAGTTATTCTAGAGTACAAGTTATTCTAGAGTACAATGGTGGAACAGGCACAAGTTAGACATTTTGATTACAAATGGGAGAAATAGAAGAGAAAGAAGGGCTAATTGGAACCAAGCAAGTCCAAAACCCAGCAGATCAAATTATGGTAGCTCTCAGGGCTTACTAATAATCCTCTGTTCTTCCTAAATCATCTGGGCAATGACCCCGCCCTCATCTCTGGTTGTTGGCCCTGCTCTCTGGATTATGCGTGTAGGTTCCTTGCCTCTGGGCAGAGGCACCCCCTTCAAGGCCCACTGGTACGGAAACATCGCCACTTGTAGTCAAAGACTGACTTCCTAGCTTGCTGCAGCAAGAAAGCCCACACACAGCAGGATATCATGGAATGGCTTTGTAAGGGACAGTTAAGGGCTGGTTACAGGATTTTAGCATAATATATTGTTACCTGCCTCAGAGTTGGCCCCAAGTCATAGTGACCCCATGCACAGTGGAATGAAACACTGCCTGGTCCTGTGCCATTCCCTTGATTGCTTGTGGATCTGACAGTGTTCTGTAGTGATCCACAGGGTTTTCATTGGCAGATTTTCAGAAGTAGATCGCCAGATCTTTCAGTTTACTCAGTCTTAATCTGGAAGATCCCCTGAAACTTGTTCAGCATCATAGGGTGGTGGTTGTGCGTGAGGTGCATTTCCTGGAAATCAAACCCCAGTCTTCAGTGTGGAAGGCAGGAATTCTATCGTTAAACCACCAGTTTGTCATATCATAAAATACTAGATGTTTTTAAATGTTAAACTAGATAAAAGTAGTTAATACTTATCTCTTAATATTGTTATCTAATAGATGTTATCTAATCCACAGTCCATATTTAAATTTGTTCTCTTGTCGCAAAATAAGTCTTCTATAAAGGTTTTCCTCCCAGTTCAGGGTCGAATCTATGCATTACCTTTAGTTGTCATGCTTCTGTACTTTCCTTTCATCTAGAATGATTCTTTAGTTTTTCTTTGTCATTTTTGTTCTTGTTTTTGGAAAGTATGGGCAAGTATTTTAGAGAAAGGCCTTCATTTGGGATTTATCTGATATTTTTCATGTTTCAGTTCAGATGACGCCTTATTGGCAGTGATACCACAGAAGTAGTGAGGAGTCCTTTCGGTGCAACATGCCCAGAGGCCAATAATCTGGGTTTCTCCCAGTATTGGTGATCTCAACTTTGTTCACTTGGCTAAGGTGATGATTTCAGTTCTGTCAGAATTCTCTACTGAAAAGTTATTGTTACCTTTTTTAGATAATTAATTTTGGGGAGATACATTTATTGGCATTCTACTGTAAAGACCAACTTCTTCTCCCCTATTTATTCATTCAAATGTAAATTTTATATCAATATGTACTCAGAACCCACTTTTGTTTTCAGTTTTGGACTTTTATGATTAATGCTGCTATCAGCATATGCATGCGAGTCTTCAGATGGACAAGTCTTTAAGGAGAATGTGTTTTCATTCTCCTGGTTAGATACCTAGGCAGGGAATTGCTAGATTGAGTGGTGGTTTCCTGTTTACCTTTTTGAGAAGCTGCCAAAATGTTTTCCAGAGTGGCTTCATGAAACTTTTTTCCCATGATCTTGTGTTTTTTAATAAAAACTAACGTGTTTTATTTTTCTCCACTCATGTTGATCTCTTTTATTCCTCCATGTTTCAATTAGTTTTAGCAAAGAAATGCATACATTTAGTTGAAAACATTCAGGGATATTATAAGATTTGCCAGCAATTGTTTTTGCACCTTTCCTTGTTGATAAAAAGGCCTTTTTAGGAATTTTTTGCTTAACGATAGAAATTGACTTGTTTTCACACCTTTTGGAAAATAATTGTCTACGCCAATTTAAATGTTATTGTTAAGGCAACAATTTATTAGGGAACATAGTCAAGCCCATTTAACAGATTTTCAGAGGAGACATGGGACCTTCAGTCAGCAGCAGTCACATCAGAAGTCCACGTATCTGACCATGTTCCTTTGGTAGAAGTTAAATCTATAAGGATAATTGCCTACTACAGAATATCATGTGCTCTTCCATAGCTGCAGTGAAATAAGAACCCTGATAGAGTTCCAAGAGTTTTCCATCTTGCAATAATCCCATCAGTGGAGACTGTTTTACTGGTGACAGAATTGAGGGAAAGAGTTGTTATTAATTTGTGTGAGATGACACAGCTAGTGAGAAGTCATACCAGTATTTGAACCCACATATATATTGATCCCAGAGCTAACTCTTACTCAGTATGTTATAGTGTCTGAAATGCTGTGGTACCAGAATCACAGTTGCTACCTTGGAGGCCACAACGCAACACTGGTGAGAAGCCCACTGTGTGTAGCTGTGCAGAGTGTTCACTGAACCCGGACTGAAAGGAGTCAAGGGCATCTGGTGTCCGTGTCATGCTTTGCACATCAGGCTGTGTGCAGCTGCAGCCACCCAGACGAAGGGGCCTCTTGCCTAATTCATAATAAGAGGCCCCGAAGGTGAGTGACATCCCTGGCCACTTTTATGTCTTTCTTCTCCTTCCCTAGTTTGGCGTTCCCAAGACTCTGCGAATCTCAGGACTCTGTACATCGCCAGAAGTAGGAAGAAAAATGAGCACGTTCCAGGTGAGTGGGACTTAACCTTTTTGCTGTTAAAACTCCTTCCCGCTACTCCAATTGAACACTTGGTTTTCTTTTTCTTGTGAAAACTCAAGGAGAACAGTAGACATTTGTGAACCTATTGTTTCCCAGGTGTTTGCTTTGTTTGTCTTTGGTTTACTTTGTATTTGTTTGTTTGTTTGTTTAGTTTTTCTATTATTTCATCTTTTTTTCTCAAAAATAAGAGGAAAAGGAGGAATAAGAATGAGCAGTTCTCACAGCTTAGTACTCCATTACTCAGTAATTAGCTGTTTGTATTTTTTCATATCCTTTTCCACCTGTACTTTTAGAAATTATTTGTGTTCATTATATACATCTAATTTTAAACTGTCCATTTTTCACTTACTGTTATGAAACAATCATTTTTTGTGGTTACTTTGTTTTCCAGTTGAATTGTTGCACCTTTGTATTTTTAACTACTTGATACTTTGGACATTTAAGTGGCTTAGGAATTCTTTTTTTTTTTTTTTTTTAATATTTTGTTGTTTTCTGTGAAGGTTTACAGAACAATTTAGGTTTCCATTCACCAATTTCTATACAAATTTTTCAGTGAAATTGGTTACATTCTTTATCTGTGAATATTCTCAATATTTGTGTTCTGTTTGTTCTGTTTCCATTAATCTAGTTTTCCTGTTGCCTTACATTCTCATCTTTGTTTTAAAGTAATTGTTTATAGTTCGATGCCATGTAGATAATTTTTTTTTTAAAGGAGCACAGTACTCATGGGTAATATTGTTTATTTTGTGAGTCAGTCTGTTATTTAGCTGAACGGTGACATTGGCTAGTTTTGCTGCTGGCTTTAAAGAGTATCTCAGGGCAATAGTCTTGGGAGTCTTCCAGTCCAGTAAGTCTGTTTTTTTTTGTTTTTTTTTTTAATTTAATGAATTTGAGTTTTTGTTTTACATTTTTCTTCCATTTTATCAGAGTTCATCTGTTGTGGCCCTTAACAGAAGGGTCAGTAGTGGTATCCGGGTACCATCTAGTTCTGGTCTCAGGGTAGATGAGACTGTGGTTTGTGTAGACTATTAGTCCTATAGACTAGTTTCTTTTTTGAGTCTTTGGTTTCCTTCTTTCTCGTTTGCTTCAGATGAGTAGAGACCAATAGTTGTATCCTGATGGCCAGAATTTGATTGTTTTAAATAAGACTACAATGAAATTGTTCTTGTTTAAAATATTTTTCCCTAAAACTCAATTCTGAGCAAATTCTCCTTTTCTTCAGCCACTGTACCACATGTCAAAAGTACTTTTTCATATGGCACATTGGCTGTTTAGTAGTGTGGTACAATGGATTGCTTTTGTGTGCCTTTCTCGCCATGGCCTGTAACTCCCACCCAAGTGATTGGGCAGTACCGTGATAGGGTAATTGTGGCCCACCAATGGGATTGGTCAGTTTTTCTATCCCACTGGGTTTGAAATGAGTCACCCCAGAGGTGGGAGAGAGAGGATCCCACCACTACCAAGGAAGAACAGCCAAGAGTGGAGATTGTGTCGTTTGGGCCTGGGATCCCTGCACTGAGAAGCTTCTGGAACCAAGAGACAGAGAGAGAGAGAGAGAGAGAGAGAGAGAGAGCAAGGTGTAACCCTAAAGACAGTGAGAAGCAGAGGCAGGAGAGACTTCTCAGTGGGCTTCCCGACACGTGGAGTGAGAAAGCGGCGTGCTTTTAGGCAGAGGGCTAGGGAGAGGTATGCCTGCGAGCACGGCTGGGAAGAGGCTGGCCTGATGGAAGAACTGTATCCTGAGTGTTCCTGAACCTGAATTATAACTGTTACTTCCCTAATAAACCCCATAATTGTGAAGATTGTCTGTGAGATCTGTGTGGCAATTACAATGAATTATCGAACCCAGCAGGGAAGTAGAGAGTGCCATGGGAGAGAAGGTTGGTGTCTGGTGTCAGAATTGGTAAAGATGGCAGAGAGAGGACGCGTGTCTGACCCCTGCCTCATAGGAATCAGCCTTGGGCTGTTGGTCTTGGTTCTCCTTATTCCTTGTGAAGTTAGAGGAGGTTGGACACTGCCCCCATGCCAGTTTTACAGGTAGATAGACTGTTCAAATATGGCAGAGTGCAACAGGGCCTATCTGCTGCTTCACACAAATATTGTTGGATGTTATCACTTAGGAAGGCCTGGATTTTGCTTTCCCATGCCAGAGTCATTCCTTATGTGTGTTTTATTTACTAATCTATTTTTTTTCCTTCATGTTTTATTTCATTTTCTCCAAGTACTACATAACCTTAGTTTAAAACATTCCAGGATAATACTAGAAGATTTGCCAGGCATTTGCATTCTGTCACTGCATTTACTTCTCAGAGCAGCTCAGTCAGGAGGTACTTGGTGTCTTCTTCTTTGTAAACATGTGAAATATGAGAAACCTGCTGAGATTCCCATGGGAAACCAAGGGTCAGGGGAGTTAGGCATTCTGCTCAGTGAAAGAGAGAGACGAGGAATCAGAAAGAGCTCAACTTGTAGGGACCTGCATCAAGTAGTGTGGGTGCCTAGAGTGGCGTCCTGAGTGATAATTTCCACAGGTGACGCTGCGCCTCCCCTGGCTCCTCCTCACTGTGCACCTCTTTTCTTCTGATGTCCACCTCTTCAAGTACACTAACGTGCTCAGAGCTCCATCCAGACAAGCCCAATGATTAGCCTGGTTGTCGTATAAAATTTTTAAATTTTTCCATGGGGGAAAAAACATTATACAATGTACCAGAAAAAATAACAGCTTGGGGTAGAAATATTTACAATATATATGCCAGAAAAAAATACAAATTTATTGTAGAGCTATTACAGGATCATAGTGTAAATAAAAATATCAGTGGGAATATAGGCAAAGGACATGAATAGACAAGTTCAAAAGGAGAAATAGAGATGGCTGATGAATATATGAAAACATCATGGTATTCATTTATAACTGAATAAATCTGAATTTTAAAAATGAATTGTCTTTCCTTATCAGATTATCAAAAATATTTTAAAATTTTTTAACTTGCTTTGGCATCTTATGTAGAGTCAGGGATACTTATACTTTATTGAAAGATAAGTGAAGAAGGAAGAAAATCTGGAATTATATGATAACAATTTTAAATGTGCTGATTTTTTGATATTTTCATTTTCGTTTGAAATTTCTCTTAAATAATCCGAGAGTTGTTGTTAGGTGCCGTCGAGTCGGTTCTGTCTCCTAGTGCCCCCGTGCACAACAGAAAGAAACACTGCCTGGTCCTGTGCTGTCCTCACAATCGTTGTTATGCTTGTGCCCACTGTTGCAGCCACTGTTTCAGTGCATCTTGTTGAGGGTCTTGCTCTTTTTCTCTGGCCCTCTACTTTTCCAAGCATGATGTCCTTCTCCAGGGCCTAATCTCTCCTGATAACATGTCTAAAGCATGTGAGACATAGGCTCGGATCCTTGTTCCTAAGGAGCATTATGGCTGTACTTCTGCCAAGACAGGTTTGTTCGTTCTTCTGACAGAGAGTAAGATCTACATAAAATGATATTTTTCATTTTTTAGAAATGATAAATATAGATCATCAGTTCTGTGGTGGAAATGATGTCTGACACCAGCCTCCTGGAATTAAGCCAAACTACACAGGTTAAGGCCAGTCCTCCGCAAGACTGCTCTTCCTTAAGACACTTACTGAAAACTTGGCAACAGCCTCACTTTTGACCAGCTAACTACAAATTCAGAGGTTCTCACTACTCTGTTGGGTTCACTAATTTGTTAAAATATCTTACAAAACTGAAGATAGACTATACTTTTAACAACAGTTCTGTTATAGCAAAAAGTTCTAAAGCAAACCCAGCCAAAGGGAGAGAGGCATAGGGTAAGGTCAGGACATGTCCTAGTCTGGAAGGTTCCCTTGTCCTCATGGACAGTTCACATGCCTGCCACATCAGTGTGTAACAATATTAAGAATATTGTCAACCAGGGAAGCTCACCTGTGTTTGGTGTCCAGAATGTTTATTGGGAGTTTATTACATAGGCATGATTGATTGAATCAAGGCCACATGATTGAACTCAAAATCAAAGTACCTTCGTGTGCCAGAATTTGGGCTGGTATCATCTGAGTCAAGCTCCAAACCTCTGATCACATGGTGGTCTTTCTCATGAGGCCAGCCCCCATCCTGAGTCATCGCATTAGCCTAAACTACCAGGTGTGGTTCGGGGGGACCATCAGGAATAATAAAGACACTCCAATACCATTTAAATTGCGAGTGTTTAGAGACCACTTCCCAGTGACAAAGGCCAACCAAATTCTTTGTTTCACACCTGGAGTAGTGTGCAGCCATGAACTGGGTTTAAATATATAACAAGTATGATGATAATAGTAATAATGTTCACTAAGCACTTAGTTCTGTTTTACACAGTGTTCCAAGTGATATGTGTGTATATCTGTATGTGTACATATATGTATATGTGTTTCCTTGTGTATCCTTGAAGGAAACTTGTATTGCACAAACTGTCGAACTGTTATATAAACAGGAGACTAAGATATGTAGGAGAACTTGTCCAAGGTCACCTGGCTAGTAAGGGACAGATCACTGTAATGTGCACTGAGGCATTGTAGGAAAGACTCAGTGCATTAAATGTTCGAATTCATGGATGTGATGTATTCCGTGAGAGTTGAGAGGATGTACTACATACCTGTCCAAAATAGGGTACCAAAAGCTTATTAGTTTGGCAAAATTAACGAAAAATGCTACCAGAGTCAGTGTGTATGATAGGAGGATGGGTGTTGCTATCTAATTCTATTGAAAATAGACCATCTTTTCTGAGGCAGTTGGCAGTATGAATGAAAAAGGAAACCATGTATGTCCCAGCATGCAGCATTTAGAGTTCTAGGAGTTTACTCTGAAGACGACTTTAAAAACCCAAGAATCTTGTTCCCTGAGGCACTTTGGGTGAAGCTAAGGAAAATCAGTGTATGGCAGTGGCAGCGTAGAAGGAGAAGGGCTGGGAAATCTATACATTGACTCATGTACCTGGAAATCTGGAAAAACTTCGCCTGTCCTCCCAACCTTTTCAAGTGAGTGATAGTTCCAAGACTGGGTATACTTGTGCTTGATGTTGTAGGAATCAGTGACATTCAAGGACGTGGCTGTGGTCTTCACTGAGGAGGAGCTTGGGCTGCTGAACTCTGCCCAGAAGAAGCTGTACCAAGATGTGATGGTTGAGAACTTCAGGAACCTGGTGTCAGTGGGTAAGGACAGCCTCTCTCTGTACTATCTTTATCTCCTCAGATTTTCAAAGATTTGAATGGTCTTGGAATGGTCACCTGAGTTTGGGGAACTGACTCTCCTACCAACAATTTTTTTATGAAATAAAACCCAGTGGAAAATATCAGGGTTATTTTACAAAGGTTAGTTTTAATGTTCACAGACCTCCAACCCTTTAAACATGATACATGGCAATTCCAACTAAAACCAAACCAGTTGTCATCAAGTCAATTTCGACTCATAGCGGCCTTGTAGGACAGAGTAGAACTGCGTGATAGGGTTCTGTCGTGGTTTGAATTACGTCCCCCAAAAAATGTGTGTATCAATTTGGCTAGGCCATGATTCCTGGT